AGAAACCAATAAGAGAACATACGTACAATGACTTACAACAACAGATTGAAACAAAGAGAACGTGCGAGAACTCATTAATCAAGGAAGAGACCGAGGATCGTTCAATCGTTATGACAGTGGTCATCGTTTGCATCTGGTAGCGGTGGCCATCGGGAACAGGAGTATAAGATTCTTGATCTGGCGACACTGAAAGAGAACAGAAGCACTAAAACCAAAGCAAGTTTCCATATAAGCTTCTTAAGGTTACCCATCTTCACTGACATTGAAGCACAAGCTAATTTCAAGCCGTGTGTGTGTGTGTGTGTTGTGTGACTTGAGGTCAGGTGCTGTATGCTATATGTACAGACAGATCATGTGTTTGTTAGAACTAATAAATTATATGTACTCTAATATTCTTCGTCAATATATATAGCATTATCTTTTCGACTTTTGAGCCTTCTCCTATATATATACATATATAATTAGACAGATTTTTCCTATGTTGTGGTGGAAGCTTAATCCTTCTAGAAAAGATTAGATGGATTAAAATCCTTCCTTCCTCTAATTCAAAATATAAAATATAAAATATAAGGTAAATGAGCAAACTGGTATTTGAACTTACGGTTCAATAATGACATAGATCCAAAATTTATTCACTGTACAAATTGTTTTCTTAACTTTTAAAAATGATGTAATTTTTTGTTGGCATTAACTTTTAACTAAAAAATATTAAAAAATGACCTTAAAAATTACAGAAAATGATCAAAATTTTTTTTATCATTTTCTATAATTTTGATGTTATTTTTTTGTAATTGTTGGGTCCTTTATTATAATTTTTTTAGTTTTTTTTATTATTTTCTAATCAACTAACAGTCAAAATTAACTTTTGTTAATAATATGAGCCAGATTGCATTATTTCAAAAATTGAAAAAATAATTTGTATAATAAATGAGTTCAAGATTTATGGTATAATTTACACACACACACGAGAGTTTTTATTGGTTAATATTGGTTCAAAATGCAGACGATTTTATGAAAATAAAATTAACGGAATTAAATTCTTCTTTTACACGTATGTCTATATTAATTGTACAGTAGAGAGGTTATATACAAAATATTTAAAATAATTTATTTTAAATGAACTGTAATTTTAGATAGTGATAATATTTTACTATTTTGACAATACAAATAACTTTTAATTACTTTTCTTAATTTTGTAAAGTAGTTAGAAGTGTTCTATATTTTGCATTGGGAGGAATAATATTCAAAAAGCAGAGTTGTTGGCCGTTTGGGAAAGTTAATAAAAATTTAAACATTGACACTTATTGGAATAAAAATATATTTTAAAATTTAAATTTAAATTAACATTATGCCATCAAAGTATTTAAACAATTTTAATATCCTTCACATTCCAACAACGATATTATAATGATCAAATCAAAGCCAATGTAAATGTGACTTATATATATTTTATCATACATACATTGGTATTGATGATAAATTACATTTTTGCCTAAACAATATATCTATTCATTTGATCATAGAAAATAACATAGGCTGATATTATATGATATTAACCTATGTTTAGAAAAGCTTTCCATTATTTCATGTAGTAGAAGAGACTTAATGAACTAGATAGCCTTTCTCATGTAATATTGTGTGTACCTATTTTGAACATTTAAAACTACTCTTCTTAAATATCAAGAAAAAGGTTGGGGGAAAAATTCAACATGTAACTCTAAAAACCCATTAAAACATCAAAGGAAAAAGTTTCTCCTATAATTAATTAGCTAGCCAGGAGCTAGAGGCAAATTTCATCACTTACCTAGACGGCAAACTTTGACAATATGACATTAAACACAGGTACATTTAAAAACATACTTTTCATATTGAATAGTGTGTGGGTGTGGGTGTGGGTGTGAATGAATAATATGATATTGTTCATGTTTTAGAGAAGGGGACATAAAATGCATTGCTACTAGAAAGTGGATAGTATGAACACAAATATTTTTCAGTGATATTGATTCCATGCAAACATCTAGGAAAAAGAGATTGTTTAATAGTATAAAAATGTGTGTAGCCACGTTGAGAATATTTTAGGAAAGTGTTGTTAAGAAATGAAATTTATAAAGTAATAAGTCGGTAAAAAGTAAAATTAAAGCAAAATGCGAAAAGACTGTGTGAAAGATATGAAGAGTTGACTTTGCGCTTCATCAAATTGCCGTGTTTGTGATTATGACAATTCAAAACGACGACGTCGAAAGTCAAATTCTGTCACCTACAATACCCATCTTTTTTACTATAGCTCGAGCTTTGATTTTCTTCGTTTTGGATTTTATCAATCAATTTTTTTTTACATACATTAACACGAGTTGGATTAAATTAATTGGTCCCTGCAAATAATATCGTGATAGGAATTAAAAAAAATGTTCTTTATAAAGTTTACAATCAATACAACAATAATACGCTGTTGGCAATTAAATTGTCTGTTTTTAATTTGCAATATGTCATCTTACCTCGCGATTTTACATTGAAAAAGTATACATAAGACCCATATACGTATTACTGATTTCAAAAAAAATAAAAAATGGGAAAAAAACCATTATTGCGTGAGCTTTTCAAAATTGCACTGGGAATTTTTAATGTTGTCGTTTGTAATTTTAAAATTTAGAAAAATTTAATGATCTAACGTAACCCAAAAGAATTGTTATCGAAGAGCACTAGCTTATTTCAAATAGGCGCGAACATTTTGAGTATGAGTCTTGTAAAAAGTGAAAATTACTGCTAATATAAACCATATGGTGAGGAATTAGGCGAAACTCAGCACGACTTTTAAAATTTGGTTTGCATGCTAAACATAAAAAGCTTGAATTACACACACATACGAGACCATTGAACAACGAATCCTTCAAAATATATAGTGCAAAAAAAAAAAAACACACACACACACACACACTCTATAAGTTTTAAGAGATGAGTCGGTGGACACAAGGAGAAAGTAACATTTAATCAAGTTAAAATGGAAAGTGGCATCACCTATCTACTTATTCCTTTGTCTAATTTTTAAAGACACACTTAGAAATAATTAAGGTAATTAAAGCTAAAGTAATTAAATGAGAGAAATAAAGGAAATGGACGGTGGAAATCTTTTATTGAAACATAATCCTTAATTTTCAATTTTCTTTTGCCAATGTCTAATCCCTCTTCTTCTTCATTCTAATTTAATTTAATGCCAATCCAATCTGTTCTCCCTTCCTCTAATTTCGTTCAGCATTGCCACCTATTGCTATTCAACCAAAGCTAATGTAACTTGGTGACATATAATCCCATTCCTTTTTTACTTAGTCTCTAATTTTGACATTCAATTCCCACTAATTCTTAGTTTAATATTATTTTAAAAATTTCTCATAAGTGAGAAATAGGTCTCTTTAACTTTATCTCACGTCGGCTTAGATCTTTTTCTTCTCACATATATGGTAAATTCAAATTTAACATCTTTTCGACCTCTCCTTTCTAAAATATTATTTTGATACCCAAAGTGTATAACTAGGACCAATTTGCTATGATTAGGATTCCCTCTAATTCACCGAATGATAACTTAGGGTTTTACTTGGTTAAAACTAATCATCTTTACAATTTAGTCTCTACTTTTGGTTCACTGATTTTCTTTTTCTTTAATCTTCTTTTGTACTCTTAGGCATCTTTACTTTACCGGAGTATTCACTATGTCCTCGCCAATCATAATCTATAATCCGCTAAATTCTTTAGAATAACCAAACACAATTATTTCTCAAGAATTCCTTGATTGATGGGATTTCTCTTTTCTATTTCACTTACCTTGAGTACATACCAAACCCCTCTTTTAGATTTTATACAATTTGAAAAAATAACCTACTAAATAAAATTTCTTTCTAATTATGTCCAAAAGCATCCACGTCTAACTTCTGAATGTTACGTCTATTGTATTATTTAGATCAAATTTAGACCGTCCAAATTTATTATTTAATTATAAGAGTGTTATTGAAATGTGAAAATTTAAGAATAAAAAAATCTAAGGGCCTATTTTTTCTGTTTTTAAAAACTGTTTTTTGTTTTTTAAAACAAAAAAATTTAAAAATTTGTTTGTATAAGTATTTTTCATTTAGTTGTTTTCAAAACTGTTTTCAATTTTTTTAAAAAACAAAAAAAAACAACTTTAAGTTATTTTTGTTTATTTTTCTTGTTTTTAAAATCCACTACATTAGTTTATTAAAAATTATAGTTACCTTGACCAATTTCTATTATTAATCACTACCATTAACTGCATATAACCATTATTATCAGTTCATTTTTTAATTTTAATTTTTTTTTAATTTTCATACCTAATCAGATTTTCATTTTGTATTACAAAACAATTTTTAAAAACAAAAAATGAGAATAGAAACCAAACATGCCCTAAATTGTTAAAACTTAATCTAAACTTTTCAAATTATGGATAAGGAGAGAGAAATAGAGTGAAGCCAAAAAAAAAAAAAAACAGAATGAATGTGTGACAAGTTATTTAGTTAATACCCGATCCCGAACATTTGGTTTCGTACGCCCTTGGTTGCCTCATCCGTTTTTTTTTTTTTTTTGCCCCCACCTCATCAAACCAATAGAAGTCAGATTGAAAGAGTAACTACTAGTTTTAGTTAATTCAATTGCTCATGTCAAATGTGGAAGAATATATGTGAAAGTTGACTTTATGGTCGTCTATTTGCAATATGAATATGAGAATCCAAAACACATCGAAAGTCAAATTTTGTCTCCTCTATTAATAATGTTATAAAAAGGTCGAGCTTCATTGTTTTGAATTTTCTCCATTCCATGTTGCAGACACAATAGACTTAATTTGTTTAATGCGAAGCATGCTCCTTGTGATAATTTGATTGCTGCTTTTTAATTTCAACAAGGTAAGTGATATTTACTCACAATCTTAAGATAATCGATGAGGCTATAAAAAAGAGCTTTGCTTTGGACAGAAAAAACATATCTCCTCAACAATGAATCAACAAAAAATTTCATTCTTCCCAGCAATTTATCTTACTCTCTTGGTTTCTTTTTCACTATGGTCTTGCTTGCTCACTTCAGGACTTTCTGCAACTGAAGCTCTTCTCAAATGGAAACAAAGTCTCCCAAACCAACCAATCTTGGATTCATGGGTCTCTCCATCACCTCACAGCAGCATCAGTGCAGATCAATCCCCATGTTCATGGCATGGAATCAAGTGTGATTATTCTGGAAGTGTGGTTGAACTTGACTTGAGTCACACTGGTCTTCGAGGTACTCTTGAAAACTTGGACTTCTCAGCCTTTCCAAATCTTCTCCTTTTTAATCTCAAATTCAATCAACTGACTGGTCCCATACCAGAAACCATTGGGTTGCTCTCAAAACTCCAATTCCTTGATCTTAATCGTAATCATCTCAATGGCACTATACCTCTTTCTCTTGCTAATCTTACTCAACTCTATGAGCTTGACCTTTCATGGAATGAACTAACTGGGATATTAGATCCTCGTCTATTCCCTGATGGAACTGATGATCAACCCAAAATTGGATTGATAGTGATGAAATATCTTTTGCTCCAAGACAACTACCTTGGTGGAAAAATTCCAAATGAAATGGGGAATTTGAAGCACTTGACTATCCTATATCTGGATGGTAATATCTTTTATGGACCTATTCCTCATTCTCTGGGGAACTGTACAAATCTAACTACTCTCACATTGTCTGAAACAAATTTTCAGGCATAATTCCCTCAAGTCTAGGTAGACTAACCAATCTAACTGTGATGCGTTTCCAAGAGAACCATTTTTATGGCCCTTTACTAGAAGGATTTGGAAACATTTCTTTTACTATCATGCTTCTATCTCAAAACAATTTCAGTGGCCAGTTACCATCACAAATATGCAGAGGTGGTAAGCTTGTCAATTTCACTGCAGCTAACAATAGTTTCTCTGGTCCAATTCCCATTAGCCTAAGAAACTGCCCTTCATTGTATAGACTTCGACTTGAACATAACCAATTGACTGGTTATGTAGAAAAGGATTTTGGAGTGTATCCTAATCTTACTTACATTGACATCAATTTCAATAAGGTGCAAGGTGAGCTTTCTGCAAATTGGGGTGCCAGCAAGAGCTTGCAAGCTCTTATCATGGCTGGAAATTCCATAGGTGGAAATATTCCCAGTGAGATCTTTCAATTAAAACAGCTAGGAAAGCTTGACTTGTCTTCAAATCAAATATTCGGTGAGATTCCTCCCCGAATTGGAAATACCTCCAACTTGTACCTTTTAAATCTGAGCAATAACAATCTTTCAGGGATGATACCAGTGGGAATTGGAAAGCTTTCAAATTTGAATTCATTAGATTTGTCCATGAACAACCTAAGTGGACCGATCCCTCATCAGATAGGGGATCTTTACAGGTTGTTCAATTTGAATTTGAGCAACAATAACTTCTCTGGCAAAGTTCCATACCAAATTGGAAATCTTGAGTTCTTGCAAGAATTTTTAGACTTGAGCTATAATTTACTTTCTGGAGAAATCCCTGTGGATCTTAGTAAACTCAACAGATTGATAAGCTTGAACATGTCTCATAATAATTTTTCAGGTCCTGTCCTTGATTCCATAACAACAATGTTAAGCTTGTCAAGCCTCAATCTCTCTTACAACATGTTAGAAGGTCCTGTATAGGATAGTAGAATTTTCAGTTCTCCTTACATGGTTGATTTGAGTCACAACAAAAACTTATGTGGGAGGATCCAAGGTTTGGAAACCTTGTAATGTCTCAATTATAAAACCACAAGGTGGAGATGATAACAAAAAGAACATTGCGATCGCTATTTGCACTTCCTTATTTGGTTCATTGGTTGTTTTGATGGGGACAGCTGGAATTTTCTTTATTCGCTGTAAGAGAAACTCAAGAGCTCTAGGACACAACAGTAAAGTCAACAGAAGAAATATGTTCTCAATATGGAATTTTGATGGTAGAATCATGTATAAAGACATAATTGAAGCAACTAACAACTTTGATGAGAAATATTGCATTGGAGAGGGAGCTTTTGGGAAAGTTTACAAACTGATGTTGCCAAGAGAGGATAGAGTATTTGCTATCAAAAAGTTGACATGTGAAGAAGATAGCCTAGACATTGAGAGCATAAAAGCTTTTGAAAGTGAGATCAAAGCATTGATAGAGACTCGCCACCGGAACATTGTGAAGTTGCATGGATTCTGCTTGCAAAGATCACACACATTTTTTATTTGCGAGTACATGGAAAGAGGAAACTTAGAGGCTATTCTTAAAAATGATGAGGAAGCATTAGAATTGGACTGGCCAAAGAGGGTTAATATTCTCAAGGGTGTAGCACAAGCTTTATCTTATATGCATCATGATTGTAACCCACCAATTATTCATAGAGACATATCAAGTAAAAATGTTTTGTTGTCTTCAGATCTTGAAGCCTGTGTATCTGACTTCGGCACAGCAAGGTTCTTGAAGCCTGATTCATCAACATGGACAATATTTGCTGGCACATATGGCTATGCTGCTCCAGGTGAGTTCAATATGGTTAATAACATTAATATTTTCTTCTTATTGTCAATCATTAGTAAAACGCGTCACTTCATTTTTTTGTTACATGCAGAGCTTGCCTACAAAATGGCAGTGACAGAGAAAATTGACGTCTATAGCTTTGCTGTTTTGGCTATTGAAGTGCTTATGGGGAAACATCCTGGCGATCTAATATTCCATTCTGAATCATATGATATTCCTATGATCAACTTCAAAGAGATTTTAGATCCTCTTTTATCACCAGCAAATGGAAAGAACTCAAAGCAATTGGGTTTGATTTGGCATCTAGCTCTTTCTTGTTTACAAGCAGACCCTCAATCTAGACCAACCATGGGAAGAATTGCTCATATCATAGAAAATAGCTAGAGACTGCTCATGATTAATGTGTTTTTGCTAGGTTATATTTGTCTGCTTTTTAGGTTGTATTTCAGGCTTCCAGTCTTTTGTCTTTTGTATTTGATTAGTGAGTGTCACTTGACTTTTTTGGTAATTACAATTGGCTTGTTTTTGTTTAAAAGAAAGAAAGAAAGAAAAACACCTTAGAATATGCATTTGTCATAGGTAAGGTATCCTTGAGTGGGATTTATCTTATGAAGTCTTGTAATAGATTTGAAACAGTGATCAAGGCTAGAAAGGTTTTTTGATTGTAACATGGCTAAAAGTGCTCTATTTTGTAAACATGCAAGTTTTAGTGAAAAATCTCAATTGATTTGCTTAAAATTGGATGTAAGCCAAATGGGTTGAGTTGAGTCAGATACTCTTATGTGACTCACTTTGTTTTTATCTATACTTCTTTTCAAAGGCATATTTGTCATGTCACTCTATTTTCCCCATATATTTTTAGTTTTCAGATTGCAAGCTTTCAAAATTGTTTAGCATAGTTAGAAATTTAAATAAAAAATAAGCTATGTGAGCTTTCGGCTCTGTACTAAGTCATGTCAATAAGGATCATAGTTGAAAAATACGGTCAATTTAGAATATGCAGGCTTATGAACTTGAGCCTTTAAGAGCTATGCCAATTCTTAGTGATAGCTCTGGTGAAGACCCCCAAATAGGCATATCTCATAAAAGGACCACAAAATGAGTTAATTTATAAGTGTCTAGATCCTTTTTTGACATAAATTTTTTTTGAAAAATGATCATATTGCCCATCTTTTAAAAAAATGAATTCCACTACCGATGAATCTTCTGTGACTAGCTGCAGAATAGAGATCCAACATACAGCAGTTGTAGCTTCCCAAAAATAAAAAGAGGAAGCTTCGAACGAGAAATGTAACTATATTCTATCCCAAATTTCATTGCAAATATTTGGAACAAATTTTGGAACAGATTTGAGACACTTTTTGCAATGCAATTCAATCAGTCGCAAAATTTCCATCTCAAATCTCTTGTTTTCTAATAGTGTGTCGATTTAGCCTTGATCATTCAAACCCTAATTGGATACATGTTTAAAGAGATATGCTTTAGAGGAGGGCTTCACAATAAAAATTTCAGCTCTAACCAATGGAAATTGAATTTAGTGAAAGGAGGTAGTCTATCAAAACATGATAAATCAAGATTTAAATAATTCTCACTATGACAAATGAACATGATTGTTTTTGCCCCAAACACACAAGCATTATTGTCAAACTCTCGAGTTGATTTTACAAATTTATTGTCATGTTAACTTGTTTATAAACTTGAATTAAATAAAATTCAATTAAACTCACGAGTTGACTTTATGAGTTTACTGTGTTTACATTTCTAAGCTATAAAATCATGTCAATTGACTCATAAACTCGTTAAATAACATATGTATGTATTATATAAAACTTGATTTATAAGAACAATAGGATCCCGTTTCATGAAAAATAAAACTGAAAAAAGCAAAAACTAATATTAATGCAAAAAGAAAACAAAAAAATCAAAAATAAATTGCCCTATTTTGAAATTTTATGTTGAGTATAATAATTTATGAATGTAAATAAATTTAATTTTAATAATTTATATTTAAAATATATTTAAATTAAATTATAATCTCATTTTATATTTTAATTATTTAAATATATACTTTTAAAAGCTATTTATTAATAGAAATAAACTTTTATGAGTTTACGATTCAAGTTTACATTTTGAATTTACATTCCTATAATAAGTTTATTTAAACTCGTAAGTTTAACAACTTTGCATGCAAGTATCTCCCATTTGATAACCAATTGAAGGGTCATTGAATGAGGCAAGGTCCATGAATTCAGTTTGTATCCGAATGCATTTCATATTCATATTCCATATAATATCCGGAAGGATAAAAACCTTTCTTGTTGAGTTAATATAACACACATGGCCATATTCAAACTTTTGGCTTGACACTGGGATCATTTTAGTTTTATGAATCAAGTCACAATTAATTAAGGTCAAGAAAGACAAAAGATAGAACGTACGAGTACGTACTCTTATAATTAAAAAAGAAAAGGAAAAAAAAAACAATATGAAGGGAAAGAGAAAGTGAGAAGCATGAGTGCATGGAAGCTGTAGACAATCTTTCATGGATCAAGCAAATCTTAGATTCAAGTTACATGAACCATGTATAAATTATGCAAATAATATGTTAAATATTAAGTTTTATTATATATAAATATTTTTTTTACAAATAATGAGGTTATTATTGTCCAAATAAAATTATCATTTTTCTCTTCTTTCTGTTTTCTCTTGCCCAGTCAAATAAAAATAGAGAAAATCATATTCCTCCATATTTTTCTTCTCTCCATTTTTTATCTCATTTTTCCCCCTCTCCGTTATTTCTGATCGGCCGAGCATAGCATAAGAGTCAAACTTGGAATGACACTAATAATTTGCTCCATCATCACTCGTTTTCTTTTTCTTTCGCATAACATTTCCATCAAAATCTATGGTTTCAACGGTTGCAGTAAAAAAAAATGTTGCGTTTAGATGCATGAGAGTTTATATTTGAACTTGAACCAAATTTTTCATTTAGATACGTAAAAGTCTATAGACTTGAATTTCATCTAAATTTATATTTTATTACAATTTCTTTATAATTTTAAATTTTTTTAGATCTAATTATTATACACTTTAGCTACTCCAACTCTATCATTTTCTACATGTTTTCAATATTGGCAATTCTACTGGTGTCGCCTATCCTCTCATCTCTCGTCATCGTGTCCCATCAATTGAATAATAGAGGTAAGTTTATCACTTCCAATCCTGTTAAGTTTGTTTCGAATCCTAGCTCATGTTTCTTCTACCTTTACAATTTTTTATACTATTCAAATAAATAATTTTAAATATATGAAAAATTTTAAGTCTAAAATGAAAGAGACGTTATATACTTACATTAAATAATCCTATTTAAATGACCAAACTTTGTTTTGGAAATTAAAATACTTTTAGGCAGTGTTTGGATTAATGAATTATAATTCAAATTTTAGTTTTAAAATTAAAACTCGTATTTAAAATTCATGTATCTAAAATTATTTATTTGAATATTGTAAAAAAATTTAAAGGAATAACAAAAAGTTGGGACTTGTGGTGAAAATGAAAGACTAAGTAGAGTGTCGAGTTTTCTAAATAAATAAGAGATGAGAGAGGAGGCAAAAGTGACTATGGTACTAAGAGTAAAAACACAGAAAGAACAGGAATGTTAGGGTGGCTTAAATTTAAAATTAATTAAATATAGATTCAATTTAAAATTAGAAGTAAAATATAATAAGAAACGGATTTGAGTTTGGTTTAAATTTAAATCCATAAATTTTCAGATATGTAAATAGAGAATTTAGCGCAAATTGATCAAATTCAAATCCAATATTAGCAGTCTCTTTCACCGTCGGTCTGCGCTCTACCTTTATGTACATAACAAATGCATTTGAGGCCCAGACAAATAATGCTTTTATTGAGGGGGCAATTGTGGCTCTAATCTTTACTTATTCAAGCCCAAAAAGAGCATGATACTTTTTTGTTTGCCAGGAAGAAAAGAATGACACTTGATGTTCATACTTGCTGCTTTTTTCAGTTCTTGTTATACATGATTTTTTAGAAGAGATTGATAATCATTAATATAAAATATTTGTTATGATATATTGATATAAAAAAATTAGAATTAATTACTTAACCTTTTCTTATAGTACTTGTAAGAGTTGGGAATATAGGTCGTATTATATGAATTAGCTCAAATAATCAATCATAAGAGTTGGGCTTGGAAAAATTTGACTCAGATGACCTTGATGAGTTAGGATTGACCCATTTAACCCATATTATTTTTTAAAAAATAAAAAATAAAAGAGAAAAAGAGTTGAACTTCATGACTTTTTGATAAATTAATAAGCAAGGCTTAGCTTGATTGGCTTAGTTTATATATTATTTTACAAATATTATGGGTAAATATTTTTGTTTAGCTTCAATAAATCATGAAGGAATAGAACTCATTATGATTTAGGTGTAGTTTTTAATTCATGAAAAAAAAAATGAGTCTGCGAGTTAGTTCATTTAATTCGCCAACTCAAATGTTAGGTTGTATTGTAATTTTTACAACATAAGAAAATTGATTGAAACCCACCCAACTTATATTTTTCCTAACCCATATGGTTTGGGTTAGCTTATGTTACTGGTTCTAGTTCTGCTCTAGTTTTGGTAAGATGATTGAAGGTATTTTATAAAGAAAATTATAATCAAGGACCATTGAATAACATTTATTACTCTGTAGGATTAAAAGACCTAAATATAATTAAATTTATTATAAAAAGATAAAAATAACCCTCACACACACACACACTCTTTTAACAACAACTTCTCGTTCAAGAAAAAATAAATTACATTTCAATTTTAACAATAATTAATTCCTTCATTAACAATTCCAAAAATTTAACTTGGTGTGGTGAAGATGAATAAGTGTTGTAATTTGGCAAATAAGTCTCTATTTAGTGGGGAAACAAAAAGTCTCATTTCCATCTTAGCAACAATTAATTTTTTCATTAACAACTCTAAAATATTAACTTGATGGTTGAAAGAAAGTATTATGATTTGATTAACAAGTCTTCATTGAAAAAAAAAAGTTTTATTTTTATTTTAACAACAATCACACCTCCCATAACAACAAATATATGAGGGGTAATTTTGTCTTTTTATAATAAAATTTAATTATATTTACATTTGGTTCAACAGGGCAATATTAAAATCAAACAAAGCAATTTATTTGTCCAATGATCTTTAATTGTAATTTTTCCTCTTTTATAAGAAGAATTAATCGAATTCTTTTTGAACTTTTGTCATAGTTGATTATACGGTCAAATCTTCTCTCCCACATTTCGTCACTTGGAGTTTAGTCCATGATTGGCAATCTTGACAAAAGAAAAGTTCCATGATTGCAACCA